TATATATATATATAACTTTTTATTTTTGAGTAAAGAACCTATCACCTGTAGCAAACTTCCTAAGAGCACTAGGCTGATTATGTTGTATATATAAAGAACCAAAAAGTTAAAACCAAGAAGTGCTTGGAAGTAGGATTCAGAAATCTATTAACAATACCAGGAGCCTGCCCTTTCTACAGTGAGCCTCATCTGGCTTACCAGGAACCTCAGCTTTATGGGTATCCCAAATCCTTACAATATCTCAGCTCTAGACAGTCCAGATGGGAAAGAACAGGCAAAGGATTCAGGAAGAATGGTGTTTTTCAATCCCAACCACCCAAGGGGATGTTATGAAACTTGACTCTTAATTTTTTCACCTAGAAAACAAAGACAATAAAAACCACCTTGTAATAATGCTTCAAGGATTAGAGATAATGTATGCTTAAAAACTGTTATGCTATAACTGGTTTGCCTATGTGATATTATTTATTTATTGATGCTAATGCTATAGAGATTCTATTGCGCTCAATACAAAATGGGTTATTTGAATATAATTATTTGCCTGTGGGTGTTCAGGATGGCTGAATACTGGAAGCAAGGAATTTGGTTCCCAACACTCTCCTTTCCTGCTTGTCCCTTCTGAGTCTATTTCATGTCACTGCTATGGCATCTATCCCATAGCTTAGGGCTAAGCTGCCTAAGCTTATATGGTTCCCATTATGATATATTAATTAAATAATTCATTCATTTTCTTTCTTCCTTTTTTTTTTGAGACAGGGTCTCATACAGTTCAGGCTGACTGACATTGAACTCACTATGTGGCCCAGGTTGGCCTCAAACTCACAGCGACCCTCCTTGCCTCAGTCTCCTGAGGGCCAAGATTACAGGTGTGTGCCACCATGCCTGGCTCCTTCTGCCCATTTCTTTCAGGGGCAGTTAATAGATAACTGACAGAGAATTGCTGGTTTATTTTACCGATTTTCCAACTGGCAATACAGCTATCAGCAAAAGCAGATTAGGAAGAAATATATCATTTAGAAAGATACTAATGAGTCAGGCTGAATTTTGTATTTCCAAACACAAAGGCATGAAAATATTTTGTTGTTGAGAAGTTTATCTCTAAACTGTCCATCCTCTACCTGCTCTAAAGTCAAGAAACAACCTTCCGTTTGGTAGTTGCGACAAATGAGATTTCCAATATCATTTGAGGAAAGAAAATTGGGGGTGAATGGGTTGGGGGGATATTGGGGATCAAACCTAGGGCCTCTCCACTGTGCTATATTCCTAGCCCTTTTGATTTTTTTTTTTTAATTTTGAGATAGGATCTCACTATGCTGCCCAGGAGAGGCTTCAACTTGCAATCTTCCTGCCTTAACCTCCCAAAGTGCTGGAGTTACAGGCGTATGCCAACACACCTGGCTCCCAGCCTACTTTTTTATTTTTTATTTTGAGACAGTGTCTTGATAAGTTGTCCAGGCTGGCCTCAAACTTGTGATCCTGCCTTAGCCTCCCAGAATGTTGAGACTACAAGCAAGCAACATCATGTCTGGCAAGGAAAGGAGATCTTAATCACAAAAAGACAGCTCAGCCCAGTAACCTACAGTCATAAAGCAGGTACGTGGCAGGCAATTTTGTTTTTTTTTGGTACCGGGATTGAACTTGGGACCTTTTGCTTGCGAGACAGGCAGCAGAACCACTGAGCTAAATCCTCAGCCCAGGCAATTTTTGTACATGATAGGAAATCATTTTAAATAAAGCAAAACAACATTAAGGAGTCATGATTAGCTATGGAAAGAGATCCACTTGTACAAGACCACCACCACATCTCTCTGCAGAGATCCTGTACAGAGCCTCTTTGGTGCTTGTACAGTCCTTACCTGACAGTCAAAGTCCTGGAAGTTTCGTGTACCATTCTGTCAACAGAAGGCAGAAAACACAGTCAGTTTCCCCATGTGGTTTCCCCAAATGCACAGCAAATTCAGTTCACAGTGAAAGTGGTGCAGGTGCAATCTCTTGATTGCCATAAAACTAAAATCATTCTCAAAAGGCTTCAGAGGCAGAGTGGGTTATGGGCATGTTAGTACAGGCTACATGATCAGAGGTGAGATTATGCTTTGGTGGGCTTACTTTGAAAATAAAGGGAAGGAACCTAGTTTCTTAACAAAGCTTGTAACTTTGCCCCTCCCTACCAAAGGAGATCAGTGAAAATTTATGGGAAGAGGGTGAAATGTGAATCAGAGTCTCCCACACACCCAGTACACACAGGAAGTACCCAGGAGGAAAGGTACTAGAAGCTAACTCTGAAAGGGTAAAGAGGAGCAAGAGCCAGGGTGCTGAGATCTGGAAACTAGAGAAAGGATATGGAAGAAGACAAAGCCATGGATGGATCAGAAAAGAAAGACATGAAATCTAAGAAAAGCAGTGTCACTGAAGGAGGGAAAGAAGGACAGAACAGGGCTGCCAATACACTGGCACATCTATGCATCCGGTGACAGAAAAAAAAAAGACAAATCAGTGCATTGTTTTTAAAGTGAACACAAAGCCAGGTGTGGTGGCATATGCTTATAATCCCAACACTTGAAGGTTGAGGTAGGAGGACTGCCCTGCTGTGAGTTTGAGGCCAGCCTGGGCTACACAGTGAGACCTTTGTCTCAAACAAACAAACAAACAAGTAAACACACGACTAGGGATGTAGCTCAATGGTAAAGTAGTTGCCTAGCATGCCCAAGGCCCTGGGTTCAATCTCTAGGACTGCAAGTAAAAAAAGAAAAGTAGAACATAGTCAAAAGATCCAAGGAATATTCACCAAATCCCTAAAAAAAGGATTATAAGATAGTAATGTCTAACTGAGAAATAAAGTCAATGGTGATACTTTAGAGGCATTTTTGCAAGAGTATGACATAAGGGTTGGGGATTTAGCTCAGTGGCTCTGCGCCTGCCTGGCAAGCGCAAGGTCCTGAGTTTGATTCCTGGTACAAAAAAAACCCAAAAAACAAAAAACAAAAACTATGACATAAGAATATTAAAAAAGTAAGGATCTATGTATTTGAGAAGGAAAAAAAATAAACTTCTGACTTCAAGTATAAGGCCCTTCTGAAAAAGTCCTCTCATTATTTAGAAACTGTTTTATCAAGACATATTTATTGCCAGGCATGATAGCTAATGGGGGAGGCTGAGGCAGGAGGATTGCCACAAGTTCAAGGCCAGCCTGAATTACAGAGCAAGACTCTATCTCAAAATGAATGAATGAATGAATAAATAAATAAATAAAAATACATTTATATATTTAAATTACATATTTACTATTTTTCCACAACAGTTTCCAGAAGGTGTAGAGCTACTAATAAGCAATTTCTCAAGAGCTGTCCCTCCAGAGAAGCTCTGTGTATCTGATCCTAAGAGAATACTAAGTGCCATTCCCTTCAAGAAAACTCACAGGGCTGGGAATTTAGCTCAATGTCACTGCACCTGCCTTGCAAGTGCAAGGTCCTGAATTTGATCCTTTGTACGGAAAAAAAAAAAAAAGAAACTCTTAGAAATACTTCTTCCTAACCCCCACCCTGCTAGAAGGACAAAATGCCTTCTACAAAATGCCTAGTACAAATGCCCAAAGAAAGAGTCTTCCTCAGGAGAACTAGTACAACCAGGTGGCATGATCTCTGTAACTGCACCACCCAGTATGATTAGCCTTCAGTCACATGTACAATTTAAGTTTAAAAATCCAGTTTCTCTGTTGCATTAGCCACATCTAGAATGCTCATATTATTGGACAGTGCAGTTAAAGAACATTTCTATTATTTATTCATTCATAATTATTATTTTTTTGTTTTGTTTTCAAGACAAGGTCTCACTATGTAGTTCAGGCTGGCCTTGAACTCACTATGTATCCCAAGCTGGCCTCAAACTCGCAGCAATCCTCCTGCCTCATCCTCCTGGAGTGCTGGGATTACAGGTGTGTGCCCCCACACCTGGCTGAACACTTCCATTATTTCAGAAACTTCTATCAAAGAGTATGATCTAAAACCCAAAAGCCCCTAAAAGAATAAGGTTATAGGTGAGCAGCCCTTGTTTTTCTAAAGGTGGCAGTAAAGTCACAAAAGATTACCAATCATACAGAGACTGTAGATGCCACTGGGAACAAGCAAGACACTGGCAGAGATGGCTAGTCTAAAGTATCATTCTTAGTTTTAATTGTTTTGTGTTTTTGGAACAGGATCTCGCTATGTAGTTCAAGCTGGCCTTGAATTTACTATGTAGCCCATGCTGGCCTCAAATGGACAGCAATCCTCCTGCCTCAGCCTCCCAAGTGCTGGATTACAGGTATGTGTCACCACACCTGGCTAAAGTATCATTCATTTTTCTTTTTCTTGGTTTTTTTTTTTTGGGGGGGGTACTGGGGATCGGAGTCAGGACCTTGCGCTTGTGAGGCAGGTGGCAGCACCACTGAGCTAAATCCCCAGCTTTCTTGGTTTTTTGAGACAGGGTCTCGCTATGTAGTTCAGGCTGGCCTTGAACTCATGGTGATCCTCCTGCCTCAGCCTCCCAAGTGCTGGGATTACAAACATGAGCCATGTTACCGAACTAAAGTATCATTCTTGACGAAAAACTGAACTCACAGCCCTCAATCACAGCTCTTGGTAGGCAGGAAGATGATCTTGAGTTTGAGGCCAGCCTGGGTTATGTAGTGAGTTCAAGGCCAGCCTGAACTACATAGGAAGACCCTGTCTCAAAAAAGAAAAAAAGGGCCGGGGATTTAGTTCAGTGGTTCCAGTGCCTGCCTGGCAAGCGCAAGGTCTCAAGTTTGATCCCCGGTACCAAAAAGAAAAAAGAAAATGACCTCACAAAAATAAAATCTGAGGGCTGGGGGTTTAGCTCAGTGGTTCCGGAGCCTGCCTCACAAGCGCAAGGTTCCGAGTTCAATCCCCGGTACCCCCCAGAAAAAAGTATGGACTGGGGATTTAGCTCAGTGGTTCCACCACCTGCCTTGAAAGAGGAAAGATCCGAGTTCGATCCCCGGTACCAAAAAAAAAAAATTTGATACAGTCAAAGGATGGAAAAATAACTAAAGGGCCAGGGATTTAGCTCAGTGGTTCTGCCGCCTGCCTCACAAGTGCAAGGACCCCAATTCTATTCCCTGTACCAAAAGAAAAAAAAATAAAACATCATGAAATGTCTGAGAAATTCTTCAGAGCAGTGATTGTGTTTAATTTCCAGTTAGACTATAAGAAACAGAAGGAAGGGCCCTCCCTCATGAGAGGACGAGGGTAATTAGTTTCAGAAGGATACAAATGATCACAGGTGAGTTTCCGGTTCCTGGTTCAACTTGTACCTTTTTCCAAATATACAACAGAGTCTGTTAAAATCAGGTGCTTAATATAGATTTATTAAATGAACAAACCAACATAAAATAACTAAATGTTGAGGAATTTTTGTTAAAATGTTGGGCTGAAACCAAAAACTCTATTGAATTCTAGTTTAAGATAAGTCAGGCATGGTGGTGCATACCTGTAATCCCAGCACTCTGGGAGGCTAAGGAAGAAGGATCACAAATTTGAGCCCAGCTTGGGCAACTTAGTGACTTGGTGAGACCCTGTCTCAAAATCAAAAAGGGCTGAGGATGTAGCTTGTATGAAGGGTCTAGGTTCAATCCCAAGTACAAAAAAAAAAAGAAAAGAAAAGAAAAGAGATATGGTTATCAGATGAAAAAATTAGGTCACCAAATGGTCTTTGGGGGGGGGGGTACCAGGGATTGAACTCAGGACCTTGTGCTTGCCAGGTAGGCACGGCGCCACTGAGCTACATCCCCAGCCCCACGAAATGGTCTTTATAATTTGATCTCAGTTATATCAAAATATGCATTAAAAAGGCAGGAAGAAAAATACTAAAAACATTAACACTAGCAGTTATCTTATATAAATAAATTGAGTGATTATAATTTTCCGTATACTTTTCCACAATGAGCATGTATTTCCCCTTCTATAATTAGAAAATTAGAAAAAAAAAAGAAAATTAGAAAAAAAGATTTGGTACAATAGTAAAAAATATTTTCAACTTAATACTTTATAATATGAGATGTAAAGATTCACTTAATATTTTGAGGAATGAGTTATAATAACATTGAAACAGACCACATTAGGGCTTCAATCTAATAGATTCCCAGAGGTTTCTTTAGAGATTATTTTAGAAAGATTAAAAAAAAAATCACTCTAGCCTGAACTAAAATCTTGCTCATGAAATATAGAGCCACAAGTTTTGATGAGCTCTTTGGGAAGCAGCTGTCACTTTATCTATGAATTCCTCTTCCTCATAATCACGTGATAACAGCCATGAGGCATTTTTTGAGACAGGAGCCTCTGAAATGAGTGTAAAGGGAAATGCCAAAACTAGAAATAGGCAGTTCCTTTCACAAAGCAGCTATCTTGCTTCTCGAGTAACTAGCAAAAAACAGCTATATGACCTTAATCCAATGTACCTAGGTAGACTCCCGGATAAAAGCCACTCATAACTGGGGGAGCAAGGGGGGATAACACTTTTTTTCTTGGCTCCATTTTTTTCTTTTTTGTTTTTGTGGGGTTTTCTTTTTTGGTACTGGGGATCGAACTCAGGACCTTGCACTTGCCAGGCAGGTGCAATACCACTGAGCTAAATCCCCGGCCCCCTTTTTTTCTTTTTTTAAAAAAAGAGATGCCAGACCCTCTTAGATCAACCTGGAAAAAGGATACAAGTAGGTCTGCTTGAGAGTGTTTGGGATCCAGACACTCCTCAATCATTATCTGGCCCTAACTCAACTGTAGTTAACAAGGCCATATTCTCTGCTCTTACTAAAAGTTTGCTACTGGGCTGGGGATACAGATTAGTGGCAATGTGCCTGCCTGGCAAGCGCAAGGTCCTGAGTTCAATTCCCAGTACCAAA